AAAGTCTTAGCCACTTGCCACGTGTGGATATTTAAATTTAATTTAAAAAATTTAAAGTGTAGGGGCATCTGGGTAGCTCAGTCGGTTGGGCGTCTGCCTTCAGCTCAGGTTATGATCCCGGGGTCCTGCTCCGCGGGGAGCCTGCTTCTCCCTCTCCCTCTGCCTCCCTTTGCCTGCCATTGCCCCTGCTTGTGCTCGCTCACTCTCTGTCAAATAAGTAAAATCTTTAAAAAAAAAAATTAGAAGTGTAGTGTTTCAGTTTTATTAGCCACGTATCAAGTGTGCTGTAAAATCACATGTAGATGGCTACTATATTGGAAAGTGCAGATACAGACTATTTCCATCATCATAGAATGGTCTATTGAATGGACAGCATGTTTAGAGAATACAGAGTATGGGAATTTTAATATTTTCAATTTAACCATGATGTTGGTTAATTTTTCTGTTGAAGTTTTTGCCCATTTCTTATCAATTGACAAAATTTTAAGAGCTGCTAATGTCCATAAAGGTCATCAGCTTGTCGGTTCTATTTTTTTTTTTTAATTTAAATTGAATTAGCTAACCTATAGTACATCATTAGTTTTAGATGTAGTGTTCACCAATCCATCAGTTGCGTATGACACCCAGTGTGTCAGTTCTATTTGTAACAAAAAATATAAGCAAATCGGATGTTAACTTAGACTTATTTGGTGATGCAGTATATACACATACTGAATTATGTTGCATACCTGAAAGTAATATAATGTTATGTCAATTATCTCAAAAATATAAGTAAATTATTAGCAAATTGTGGGTTATAAATTTTAGTTTTAAATACACCAGCTCTGTATGATCCACTACAGTAGCCACTAACCATAAGTGGCTCTTGAGCACTTGAATGTGGCTAGTGTGAAGTGAGGTGTGCTGTAAGTATAAAATACACAGTATGTTTTGAATACTTAGTACAAAAAATAAGATGTAAATTGAGTGAAGGGGGTCAAAAGGTACAGATTTCTAGCTATAAAATTAGTAAGTCATGGGAATATAGTGTACATCATGGTGATTACATTTAGTAATACTGTATTGCCTGTTAGAAAGTTGCTAAGAGAGTAAATCTTAAAAATTCTTATCACAGATATTTTTTACAGGCATGTAAGGCGGTAGATGATAACTAGACTTATTGTGGTGATCATTTTACAATGTATACAAATATTGAATCACTGTGTTGCACAGTTGAAACAAATATAATGCTATATGTCATTTATGCCACAATTTAAAAAATAAAATATCAAGTGAAGAAAATGTAAAATACCTGGTATTTTAAATCCTCACTGTATATTAAAATAACGTTGGGATATATAGTGTTAAGTAAAATACATTATTAAAGTTAATTTTGGCCTCTTTATTTTTATGAATGAACTACTAGAAAATTTGAAATTATGTGGCTCATCTTATATTTCTGTTAGTTCTGTGGAAGAGCCAGTGCTCTAATAAGCAAATCAAGTAATATATAATTTATTTCTACATGCCTAAATCAACAAGGACTATATTTGTCAAGTGGGCTGAAAACCATTTTTTGGGCATATATTTATTTCTGTCCTGTTAGATTTTTAGAAATAGTACCAATTTTATCAAAATGTTTTTTGTGATTTTATATATCTGTATGATATGGAAGACATGTATAAAATACTGATCTAAAGCTTTAGCGAACTGCTAAGGGAGTGATACAGGCAATATGAATACTTTGGGTGTTCCAAAGACAAACATGTTGCCAGAATCATTAGAAGGCTATCACAGAGACTTTGGGCCTTTTATTGATGAGACACTGAAAGAGAAATATGATTCAAAGGGGGAGAAAACAGTAAGCTGGAGGGCTTAAATAAAGCCCAGATAGGTAGTGGTCTGGGTATGTGAACAGGCCAGAATGATTTGAATTAAGGATTTCAGTGTAAAAGTGAGAGAGAAGGATTGGAGAGTTAGGTTGAGACTGAAATTATAAGACTCTGAGGCTACGGTAAGGAATCTGGATGAGTTTAATATAGGAATTTAGGAGCCAGAAAAGGTGTCAGTGAATGAGAAATGTTACGAAAACAGTATTTTTGGAAGGTTGGTTTGGTTATAAGGGATTATCACAGCTATTTTTCTGAAGTGAGACAGTACAGTGATATCCTGGAGAAATTGGGGGAAAGAGGGAGCAGAGTTGAGATGTATGAAGGCCGAATCATCAAGACTGTTGTGTTTGGGGAAGGCAGAAAAGGAGAAATTGAAACAGGCCATGGTTCCCCAAGTATCACAACAGAAGTAAAAATAAAGATGTTTTAGCTTTATGTAATGTTGGTTTTTGTACTTTTAAAACTGTAAGATAGTTAATGTAGCCCTTTACAGATGAGGAGTTTGACATTCAGTGTTTAAAGAACTTGACCAGAAGAATCCTAGTCACCTTGTATTAAATGGTAGAGGGACACCTGAGCCCTGGTCTTTTTTTTCCTGTGTTGTCATTGGCATCTACTCAGTTGCCTAGCCAGTGCCTAAGGTTTTCTTGACTTTCTCTATAGCTTTGCACAACCAGTCAATCACTAAATTGTATTATTTGTTTCCTAAACTTTTCTCAGATCTGCCCACTTCTGTCTATACCACCTCTACCTAAGTTCAGGTTACTCCCATCTTTCTGGGTTGATATTTTGCAGAATTTACATTTAATCTCTGCCTTGCATCCCACCTCCTAAAACAAGCAAGCAAATAAAAGCAGTCTGCTTTCCTGCAATTCAATTGCTTTCTAAAATGCAGAGAGCACTCTCTTGCCTAAACTTTTAAATAAAATGTGAACTTCTTTGCCTGGACATCATCTTTATTATCATGCCCTTTTTTTGTGCCCATGCCTCCACTTCCATGATCATTTTATTTTTCATCTTTTGTATTTGCTGTTACTTCTTTAAGTAATGTCCTTTACCCCCTTTTCTCTGCTCCACCCTCAATCCCAAATTTAGGTTTAGACTTGGTATAATAGTCTATCTACTTGTCTATAACCACTCCTCCTATGCTTCTCCCCGACCCCCACCTCCAACCCACCCACTGTCTAATAACCCCCTAAGACTCACTTAAGTAGGCTCATTAAGGGTAGAGACTTTTTCTTGTTTAAAGTAGTGGTCCCACAGAAATTTGTTGAATGGGTGAATGTTTTTATACTTCAAGGTCATTTCAAGTTAAAATTGGCTTTAGTGGAGAATGAAGAGTCTGAAAGAATGACTGAAAATTAGTCCATCATTTCCCAACCTGTTCTTTAGAGCACTTGTATCCTAAGATAAGGTAGTGTATGTTTCACACACACAAAAATTCCATGATAAAATATATTAGGGAATGTGCAGATTATATCCTTTTCTTGGATATTCACAGTACACATAAGATCAATCAATAAAGACATCAAGAAGTCTTGCAGTAAAACAACAACAAAACAACTTTTTTTTGGATTCAGTATTTTTCTGTTGTACTTGATTATAGAACCTTTTTAGAGAGTATACCTCCAGTTTCTCTTAGGTTACTAGTGGTATTTGGTATTTGGGAAATGCTAAATTTGATAGGCACATGTGTGTGTCCTTTATTTCCCTCGAGTCTAACTCATATAATTAAACAACATAATCAGATCATGCCCAAGGGATATATGGAACTCTGGTTGTTTACAGTTAGAAGAGAAAACCTGAGGGAAGATAAAACAATCTTCAAATATTTGAAAGTTCCAGCAGAAGAGGAATTGAAAGTATTGTCTTTGAAGCTAGAGAATAAGAGTAAGAACCAGGGAAGGAAGGTGTAGGAAGGCAGATTTTGACCACATCTAAGGCTAACTTTCTAATAACTAGAACTTCAGAAGATAAGTCAGTTTTCTGTCCTAAAGGTTGTCAAGTGAAGATCCATAGGGATGCTATGAAGGACTTTAGCACTTAGAGAAGGTATAGATTGAAAGAGTAGTTTTGTGAAATAGTTTGAAAACCATTAGACTCTATTTCTGAGATATCTATCAACTTGGGATTTATATTCCCTGATTCTTTCCTAACTCTGTGGATTGGATCTATGTCTTGGTTTGCAGGATCAGTAAATTATTCCAAATATGTGTTAAGAGAAATAAATACTAGTAGAAATTTTACTTGTATGGTTAAAGGCTTTTACTTGATGGTATTTTTTTTTTTTACGGGCTTTATTTTTTAGAGCAGTTTTAGATTCACAGAAATAAAGAGCACAAAGTGCAGAGAGTTCACATGTACCCTCTTCCCCAACACATAGAACCTCCCCACTATCCACACCCTGGCACCACAGAAGTACATTTGTTACAATTGATGAACCTACATTGACACATCATTATCACTCTAAAAATCCACGGATTACATTCAAGTTCATTCTTTTCTTTTTTTAAAAGATTTTTTATTTATTCGTTTGAGAGAGAGTGAGTGAGAGCACGAACAGGGTGGAGGGTCAGAGAGGGAGGGAGAAGCAGGCTTCCCACTGAGCAGAGAGCCCAATGTGGGGCTCAATCCCAGGACCCCAGGATCATGACCCGAGTCTAAGGCAGACAGTTAACCAACTGAACCACCCAGGCGCCCCTCAGGTTCATTCTTACTTGAATACTTTGAAAGAAAATGTGAATGAATATTCCTTCTCATCTTTAAGAGAGTGGTTTTCAGTTATTTCTTGCCCTAGTTTAGTCTTTTCTGATTCAGGGTTTAAGAGATAGCTAAAATCAACATCATCTATTTTGAAAAAGTATTCAGGGTTGGGGAAAGTTCTTTTTTTTTTTTTAAAGATTTTATTTATTTATTTGGCAGAGAGAGAGAGAGCACAAACAAGGGGAGCAGCAGGGAGAGGGAGAAGCAGGTACTCAATCCCCAGAATTCCTGGGATCATGACCTGAGCCAAAGGACGCTTAACTGACTGAGCCACCCAGGTGCCCTGGGAAAGTTCTTTTTTTATCATCTTAAATGTTTATAAACATTTTATTCTGCTGGCTAACAGTATTTTTTTCTTTTTTTAAGTACCGAAAGAATTGGTGGAGCTCCATTTGAAGTTGATGAGGAAGATTGGCAAATCTGTTACAGCAGACAGATGGGAAAAATATTTAATCAAGGTACATATTAAAAATTAACCTCTGTTCCTGAAATATTACTTTATCTAGCATAAATTGATGTGTTTCATAATATGCTTAACTTTTAAAATGGTCTACTAAAAATCGCAAAATAAGACTTAGAAATCCATATAATTACTATTAGTATGTGATTCTCTTCTGCAGCTACTAAGCCATAGTCTTGAGTCTTAAGGTTAGGTTTCAGAGGTGTTCTGTTTCTTTTGTGCCTAACACTGTGTGCCCAGGACTTTTCATGTCTTCTCTCATTTAATCCTTAGAATCACCCTGATTGAATCAAGAAAGACATAGATAAGGCAAAGAAAGTTGTCATTTTTCTTTGAGATCACACAGTATGCATAGACAGAGCCAGAATTTGTCTGTTACTTAAAAGGTAAAATGTCATAACACCTTTAAGTCAAATATAGGAGGCTTCAAAGTTACCAATAAGGCCAAATCTATTCTCAGTGAGAACAACCTGGGAAATCAGAAAAGTGTTGCTGTATGATAAACCCTATTAAAGGCAAGACCATTCAGGAAAAATTGTCTGAAATTGCATCCAAACTTTGAAAACTACACAGCTTTTGGAAGCCTAAGCTGTTGTATATACCTACCTCCATGATATCTTTGGGAGTATTTTGAATTCTATAACATACCAGAATGTTAGGTGATATTTTTTGGTATTTTGAAAACGATGTAATTTTCTTATGTTATAAAAAATATACGTGTTTATATACCCATGTATTTTCATATCTGCTTTCTTTTGTGGGGAGTTGTATATGTGACTTTAGAGCACTATGAAAAGAGGAACCATCAGGGAACAAGAGTTGGCTTGTTTTTACTATAAAAATCACATGTGCTTTTCCAGTTGTCTTTGCTGTATTATACACCATTCCGAATTAAGTGACATGAAACAATAATCATTTTAATCAGCCCACTGATTCTTTGGGTCAGAAATTTAGAAAGAATCAGTGCTTTGTTCCTTTTTTTTTTTTTTTTTTAAGTAGGCTCTGCACCCAGCATGGAGCCCAATGTGGGGCTTGAACTCACGACTGAGATTGAGACCTGAGCTGAGGTCAAGAGTCAGTGCTTAACTGACTGAGCCACTCAGGCGCCCCAGTATTTTGTTCCATTTTATGCCTGAATAATGTTCCATCATATGCATATACCACTTTTTATTTATTGACTTACCAGTTTATGATATTTGGCTTGTTTATATCTTTTGGCTATTATGAAAAGTGTTGCTATGAACACTTACATAGAGGTTTGGGTAGACATGTGATTTATTTCTTATATCTAGAGTGGAATTGCTGGGTCATATGGTAATTCTGTGTTTAACTGTTTGAGGAACTGCCAGACTGTTTTCCAGAGCTGCACCATTTTACATTACCACTAAGGATTTATGAGGGTTCCAACTTTTCCACATCCTTCCTCACCAACACTTATGATTGATTGATTGATTGATTGATTTTAACCATCTTAGTGAGTGTAAAGTGTTCTCATTGTGGTTTTGATTTGCATTTTCCTTATGACTAAATGATGGTGAGCATTCTTTTCATATGCTTGTTGGCTGTTGTATATCTTCGGGAAAATGTGGAAAAATACCTACTCCTGTCCTACATTGTTTAGTTGGTTGTTTGTCTTTTTGTTCTTGAGTTTAAAGAGCTCTTTATATATTGTGCATACTAGACCCTTACCAGGTATATGATTTTGCATACATTTTCTCCCATTTTGTGTGTTGTCTTTTCACTATCTATGTAATGTTCTTCATGCACAAAAGTTTTAATTTTGATGAAATCCAGTATATTTTTTTCCTTTGTGGCTAGTGCTTTGGTGTCGTAACTAAGAAACCATTGCTCAACCCAAGATCATGAAGATATAATCCTATAATCTATACTAACAGTTCTGTAGGTTTGACTTTTATGTTTAGATCTATGGTCTCTTTTAAGTTAATTTTTGTATATTTTAGAAAATAGGGGTTCAGCTAGATCCTTTTGCATGTGGATACCCAGTTGTTGCATTACCATTTGTTGAAAAGACCATTCTTTCCCATATTTGATTACCTTGACATTCTTGTAGAAAGTCAGTTGACCATTAATATAAGGGTTTATTTCTGAAGTCTTTGTTCTATTGTCTTTTTTTTTTAAAGATTTTTATTTATTTATTTGACAGAGCAAGCCAGAGTGTACAAGTTGGGGGGGGGATAGCAGAGGGAGAGGAAGAAGCAGGTTTCCCCATGCAGGATTTGATTCCAGGACCGTGGGATCATGACCTAAGCTGAAGGCTGGTGCTTAACTGACTGAGCCACCCAGGTGCCCCTCTATTGTCTTATTATATGTCATCATTTATGCCAGTACCATACTGTCTTGATTACTATAGCTTTGTGATAAATTTTGAAATTGTTCTTTTTCAATATTGTTTTGGCTATTCTGTTTCCCGTGCATTTTCTTAATGAGTTTAAGTATCAGCTTGTTCATTTCTGTAAAAATGCTAGCTATGATTTAGATAGGGTTAGGTATAATCTATAGATAAATTTGGGGAGTATTAGCTTCTTAACAAAAATAAATCTGATCCATGAAAATAGGATGTCTTTCAAAATATTTAGGTCTTTAATTCCTTTCAAAAACATTTTGTAGTGGGGCGCCTGGGTGGCTCAGTTGGTTAAGCGACTGCCTTCGGCTCAGGTCATGATCCTGGAGTCCCTGGATCGAGTCCCGCGTCGGGCTTCCTGCTCGGCAGGGAGTCTGCTTCTCCCTCTGACCCTCTCCTCTCTCATGTGCTCTCTCTCATTCTCTCTCTCTCAAATAAATAAATAAAATCTTTAAAAAAAAAAAAACATTTTGTAGTTTACTGATTCCAGTATTACACTTAATTTGTTCAATTCCTTAGTATTTTCTTGGTTTTGATGCTATTATAAATGTAATTGTTTTCTTAATTTCATTTTCATATCATTCATTGCTAATGTTAGAAATACAATTAATTTTTGTATCTTGCAACTTTGCCAGACTTGATTATTAGCTCAAATAGTTTTGTTGTGGATTTTTAATGTCTTCTGTATATAAGATTATGTCATCTGCACATCTAGATAGTTTTACTTTCTCCTTTGCAATCTGGAGACCCTTTATTTCTTTTTCTTGCGTAATTGCATTCATTAGAACTTCTGGTACACTGTTGTATAGAAATGATGAGAGCAGACATCATGTTTCTGATCCTAGGGGGAAGCTTTTCAATATTTTAAGATTTAATATGATATTAGATACGTCACAGATGTTCTTTATCAGGTTGAGAAAAGTCTCTTCCTAGTATGTTGAGTATTTTTATCATGAAGGGTATTAGATTTTGTCAAGATGTTTTTTCTGCATCTATTGAGATAACCTTGTGGTTTTTTCCTTTATTAACATGATGTATTAATTTAATTAATTTTCATATGTTGAAACAGTTGCAATCCTGTAATCAATCCCATTTGATCATGGTTCATAAACCTTTTTATATGTTGCTAGATTTGGTTTGCTAATTTACTGTTGAGGATTTTTGTGTCTGTATTCTTAAGGGATACTGATGTGGTGTTTTCTTGAGATGTCTATGACCTCATAGAATTAGTTGCGAATTATTTCATTTCCTCTTTTTTTGGTAAGTGTTCATGAAGTATTAATGTTAATTCTTTAAACATTTATTAGAATCTAGCAGTAAAACCATCTGGGTTTGGGCTTTTCTTTGTTGGAAGTTTTGTTTTTGTTTGTTTACTTGGTTTCTTCTATAAGTTCAGATTTGTATTTCTTCTTTTATCAATTTCAATAGCTTGTGTCTCTCTAGGAAATTGTTCATTTTATTTAGCTTATCTAGCTTATTGGCATTCAGTTGTTCATAGTATTCATTTGTAATCTTATTTATGTATAAGTAGTAGTAATATCCCCTCTTTCCTTATTTTACTAATTTTGCATGTTCTTTTTTTTCTTGGTCAGCATAGCTATAGGTTTATCAATTTTGTTGATCTTTTAAAAATCACTTTATGGTTTTATTGAATTTCCCTATTTTTCTATTTTATTCTTTCCTTTAATTTCCATTGGGTTTAGTTTGCTCTTTTCTGGTATTAAGGTGGAAGTTTAGGTTATTGATTTGAGATCTTCCTCTTCTTTTTAACATAGACATTTTCAGCTATTATATTCCATCTTTACTCCCTGCTTTAGCTTCATTCCATAAATTGGTATGTTACATTTAATTTTCTTTCATCTCAAACTATTTTCCCGTTTCTCTAGTGATTTCTTCTTTGACCTATTATTTGGTTGTATGTTGTTTAATTTCCACATACATGTAAATTTTGCCAATTCCTTTTCCTGTTACTGGTTTCTAATTTCAGTCCATTATGTAGAACATACTTTGTATGATTTTTGATCATTAATTTTGTTGACACTTGTTTTTATGGCCTCACTTAACGTGTGTGTGTGTGGATGTATATGTGTGTGTATGGATGTAGAAAAGGTCCTTCAATATTAAAAAATAATTTTTCTACTTAGGTATTTAGTGAGGTTTGCTAATTTCATACTTATATCTACTGTCTTTTCTGATTTTCCTTTTTTTCTGATTTTTAAGACTTTTGCTGCCCTATAAATAAAGTTTATGTACAACACACACCTAAGTACAGATAGATATTTTTCCCTTATCCTTTTTGAATGCTAAAGTCTCTACTATTTTATTAAAGAACAATAAACTCTTCCTTAATTTGTTATTTCTCTTTAGCTTTCACCCATCCTCCCTTTTCCACTTTGTATTAGTTATGTATTGCTTTCATGACACATGGCTTCAGAACCTAGCTGGTGAAAACAACGAATATCAAGTCTGCCATTCTCCGAGCTGTGCCTAATGCTTAGCACATCGCAAACTGTGTTCTCCCTGATGTCCATTGGTTGAAGTTTTCTGGGTGAAGTCTGAAACTGTCCCTAGTACAAAGAGGACAAAGAAACATGAAAGAAAGAAGCAGAGTACTCCAGATTGATACTGTGGCTGGT